AATTTGTAAACAGTTAATATAAATGTAATTACTGTTGTAAATTGCAAGCACTTTATATAATGTATAATATACATTATTAAAACTTAGACATAAGAACATTATGCTTACTGTTAACTTCATTTCCAGTAATTCACCAGAAATATTTAAAAATCTTCACTTTTAAACTATATGATTCAAACGCTAAGAAATAAAAAAGGAACTCTAAGCATAATTAAATTTAAAACTAAGTGTCAGTCACCAGCTAGTTTAATTAGAATGTGCAACAGATAATTTCTAATTAGATTTTCCAAGTATTGCATTTTTATTATATTTTATCAAGATTCTTGTATTGCATGGATATAATTTTTAAGTATGCAGATAATGCTTAAGTGACATAAGCTCTAAAAATTAAAGTTTAAAAAATAGAAATTTTTTTTATCGTACCTGTGAGAAAAAAGCATTTATGCAAAGTGTTATAACTATATTTTTAAGATACATTTTTAAATTATTGTTGTTTTTCGGTATTGTCTAATGAAATTGATTCCAGGTATTTGAGAGCACAGAAAGTGTTTTAGAAAAATCGGTCTAAGGTTGAAACGCAATGTAAATATCCTGAACTATAATACTAAGCAAATTCCATGCAACATCATAAGCTGTCTGCTAAACTGAATCATGTTTTCCATTCAAGTTCAGCCACAGTATTCTGTAATCGAATTTAAGAAGTGAGATATTAGGGTTAAAATTAGAGCTACATATAAGCTGCATCGAACTTGAACCCCATTATGTCTTAGAACGCTTCAAAACGTCTACTCACTTAGGAAATGTCCGGTCACTTATTGCATTTTGCAGATGGAAAGTTTTTAAGGATGAAAAATGAACCTTTATATATAGATTAAAATATGCTAAGCACAATGTTGAGCGTTTGGTTGATTATAATTTCTTCAAATTAATATGAAAATCACATTAATAGTTTCTTAGATCTCAAATGGTTGGAATTCAGAGGGTATCTGTATTGGCAGAGATTTTATTATTGCTTGCTTCAGAAAGTTCTAATTTTGGAGCATAATTTTAAACCAATGTTTGACACCTCAGCAAAGAAAGATGAGAGGAAAAATTTTATTTTGAAAAAGTTTAAGGTTTTACCGTAGAGTGAGGAGTTGAAAAAATGACTGTAAATTTAGGAACAATTTGTTATCCTCAAGGACATGGATTATAGGGGATTTCCATCACAACTGAAAATAAACCCTTTTTCAAGGACTAAGAAATACTGTATATATACAATTTTGCCAAGAATAAAAAATATACTATTGTTTATTATGATCTTTCTTTTTACAAATGGACATTTCGCGATTCATTGCAATTCAACAATTAGTTATTAATGATAGGAAAAAAATGAATGATTTAAATTGCGTGAAGTTAGAGAATCTGAAACAATGGTATCGCATAAAGATAAAGTTTCTAAAAACTTATTTGAATCTGCAGCCACAACGATTCAATTTTATTTCAAAAGCTAAGATTATATATATTAAAAACTTTTCAGGAACATAATCGTTCTTTAGTTCAAACGAAAAACAACAGTCTATCATTAAAGATACCGAACTATTATAATTTTAATAATGAGCAATACAATCATTATATCAGCTGCTATTATTTCAATTAAAATGAAATTTATTTAAACCATTGCTTTTTTTGAAGAATTATTTCAGTATCAATCGGGTAATAAAACCTGTTCTGTGTCATTTTAGGAAAACTTTGTTAAAAACGCAAAATAGCAATTAAACACTCACTCTCACCAGCTATATACAGCATTAATACAGCATTTCCATAGTGGATAAAAATTTACTATATTCTAATTTATTATAAATATCTTTAATAAATTACGTTCACCCATATCCGTACAACGTGTTTGTATTGTTTTTTGTAATTTATAATCCATTTTGCCTGTTAGTTAATACAATTCACTCTCTAATTTAGCGATTTTGGATTCCCTGGTATATTAGTTAGGGAAATTTTGATCTACTGCTTTAGTTGATACATCTATTCACTAAATCATGCATTTTTTTCTTTGATTTTCTCGCCGACTACAGTGCTGACATAAAATATCCTCAGTGGTAGACGGATTATGGGTTAGAAGCCCCTTGCTGTTACACTAACCATGCGAGATTCGTGGTTTACTTCTTCAATTAACGTAAATGCTGGTTGGTTCCATCAAAATGCCTTCTGTGAAAGTAAATTTCCCCCAATACTTGATCCAGGAGTTCCCTTTTCTTCTGGATTGGGTTCAAAATTGCAGGGAAACGGAGTTGAACGTTGGTAGTCGTATCTTGAAAATTCGGTCAGCTGTTCAACAACGGTTATAAAATAAATAAATTTTTTTTTGATTCACTGATTCATTAATGAATCAATTCATCGGTTTACTAATTCACGGATTAATTAACACACTTTTTAGCTAACTCACTTATACGACACTTGGCTATTCTTTGATTTGCATATTTTCTTGCCCTTCTTTTTTTTAAACTTTATATGTCAATAATCTAACATATTTGTGATTGCTGTAGTGACTTTAATAAAAGGCTTTTAATACTTAAAATAAATGATTTAAAAAACAGTTTGCAAGTAAACTAAATAAATAATTAAAAAATATAAATAAATTAACAGAATATATGAAAAAATACAAACGAATTGTTGCCAGAAAAAATTGAATTTAAGGGCAAAATATACTTTTTGCTCATTTAATTAAATTGACTTTAAACAATCCTAATTTGCTTTTTTTCCTGCATTAAAAAGGACATATTGAAGTTTTGGGTTTAAAATAAATTGTAATTAATTTTTTTATCTAACTTAGCCATAATGAAATTTCAGTTTCGATATAAGTTTTGTTATTAAACAGAAAATCGTAAACCATAATTTTTATTTTAAATTTCAAATGTATAAGCTAATGATTATATTAAACTTCACATGCGAGCTAATCATTATTTCAAATTTCAAATAAGCTAACAACTATTTTACATTTTGAACGTATAAGCTAATAACTATTTCAAATTTCAAATGTATAAGCAAATAATTATTCTAAATTTCACATGTATGAGACAATAGTTATTTGAATTTCATATGTATAAACCGAAGATTATTTTAAATTTCAAATGTATAAGCTAATGATTACAATAAACTTCAAATGTATAAACCGAAGATTATTTTAAATTGCAAATGTATAAGCTAATGATTATTTAAAATTTTAAGTGCATAATGTATTAAATGCATAGATTTTCCTTTTACTTTAAGGATTAAATATAAAGTGAATATTATAGAATAATATTCTTCATCACAATCTGAGAAAAACTGGTTCAAATTTGAACCATAATATCGGTACCTCAGTCAATAATGAGGTGAAAATTTACTGGAACCTTAAAAGGTGTTAAACTGGTTTATTTTCCCATTAAAATTGAATTATAATAGAGAATTTAGAATGCAAATTAATTTTGTTGTTTAGTTTTCTTAATGATGAATTAATTATGATAGGATATTATGATAGGAGTGATATGATATGAAATTAGTTTTTATATCGTAAAATCAGAGAATTGTTAGTAATCATTGTTCATCATAATGCATTAATGGTTTGCATCAGTTTAAAAAATAAATTTTTAGTTTTAAAAAGGTTTTGATGCATAACATAGCTAAACACAGGTTTAATATCAAATTATTTAAAACTATTGTTTTCTAATAATAAAATTGTTAAAATAAGTGTTCGAATCTTGCGCCACTGGCATGGCGTTGCTATGAAACTAACTGAACAAAACGGGTTATGCTACATCGTATCTAATTACAAAACTAAATTGGTTCTAAAATTGGTTGTAATTCTCTAATCATTTTTCATCGATTATATCATTATTATAATTAAAAAAAAAATCATTTTTAACGAGGATTTGTGCAAATGTTTTAGATTTTAAACATTCAATTTAATGAAGTAAGACATTTTCTAGAATTATTTACCTCATATATGACAGTTATACGTCATTCAAGATTGGAAACCATTATCGAAACCTTTATATGATGATAATAAATGTCATTATGTAAATTATGAAGACTATTACAAAAAATAATGCATAAATACTTCTTTCACAAGAACGAATAATGTAATTATTGTAATTCGTTTAAAATTCGACTCATTTCTTATGGGAACGGGAATTTAAGTTTTTGCTTCAGTATATTAAATTAAGGGCAAAATAAAACATTAGAAATAGTATTGATTTTTGTGAATCGTTATTCCTTAAATGTCCTATCCATTATCTTCAAACTCATGAAAAGTCTGCCGTAATGTTTTCTATAAAAATTACGAAAGAAATTAATCTTGATACAATCCATTTCATTTAAAGAAAAATTTAGAATCGAGAGACTAAAAATGAAATCTATCACATATTTATCTATTTTAAGAATCGTTTTCTACAAAAAATCTGCTTGAGTTGAGTGGAATTCAATGAATCATTAAAAGAATAAATGTTTAAAATTTTAAAAAAAATTTACTCTAAAAAGCATCAGTAAAATCGTTTGAAAAAACAAACTGTTTCTCACTGTAAAGGTACTATTTTTTTTAGTAAATTTAAAAATATCACAGGATTCTTGAAGGGTTTCATGTTATTTAAAAGAATTAGTTTGTAAGTTGCGCAACATTTTGAATCCAAATAAGAGATTAAAACTTTAAAATTCCAAAATGATTTAAAAACCGCATTATTTATAAAATCGGTAGCTCAAAAAATTGTGTTTTTTTTTACACTTAAAAATGATTATCTATTTAAAAAATTAAAAAATATGAAGACATTTCTTGAGTCCCTATCCATTGCAATTTTTAAGTTGGATAAAATTAAAAAAAAAACAAACAAACTAATTGAAAGAGCAGATGTTAAAAATTTGAAAACGATTTCTAAAACCCATCGTAATATTAATACGATATCATCGATATTAAGAGAAAACAACCTTAAATGAAACACAGAATGACAGCCAAATGTAAAGAAAATAATACTCACTTGTATCCATAAAACGAGAGAATGATTTGTTCTATCGTGTAATCCACAGAAGAGGGAAAACAAGTGTCCGGCTGGTTAGAGAACTCGAGATGGAAATGAAACGGACTTAGAAGAGTGGATTGGTCAACCCTTTTATAACTGCGGAGGGGCGTGATGACCTGGACATTCTGTGGAGGAGGAGGATGAAGATCTCTCTGTTCATTTAAAATATATGCATTCAAACCAAATGGAATTCATTTTATTTCATGATGTTTAAAGCTGTGTTAAACCATTAAGGATTCGAAAGTTTTCAATAATATTTTGTACATTAAAATAATGTCACGAAACTTACTTAAAAACTTCGTAGATATACAACATTCTATGACTAAGTTTTAAAAATATTTTTACTACCGAATACCATAAAAAACAATTTTCTAAAACAATAGTGTCCCCATGTCACGTTACTTTTATTAAACAAAATTGAATTGATGTTAAAAATATAATAATAATAATAAAAATCATTGTAAATAAAGTAAAATTTTTCGTGCTTGAATTCTATTCTCAAAACACAAATTCATACGTTTTAGGAACATTTTTTTCAAACCCAAAGAGGTGAAATGTTTTTAAATATTTGTAAGTAACCATAGTAACCATAAAATACAGCAAATTTCTTTTTTAAATCGTTTAGTTCGATTAAAAGATATTTAGAAAAATAGACAAATTGGGTTTGGTTTTTCAGACAGAAATAAAGTTTATTTTACAGAACAAATTTATTCCTTTCAAATAAATGTGAATTAAATAAGAGAACTTTACAAAGTGGATCTCTATCGTCGACTTCAGAAAAGAAGCACACTTCGAGTTGTTTCTTTCCTATAAAATTCTAATAATTATATTTATACTCTATTTATTTGATTTATGTAAAATTACTTCATATTTCAGTTCGTACTTTCCCAATAAAAATCCAAACACCCGCTTCCAACTAGATAAGATTTTGTGAAGATTTGAGTTGGAATGAGGGTTTTTCTTTGCGTTTGCTGTTGTTAAGTGGTAAGTTACCATAAAATTACACGAAATTCAATTAAAAGATATTTTTACAGTTCAAGGGCTTAGAGCAATATAATAAAAAGACATATTTTAAAATTGAACAGGATAGATGAAAAATATCTCTTTTGATGAAAAATATCACAATTTACATGTAGGGAATAAGATTGTTCTCGGTAATGTGCTGACATTTTGGGGAAGTTCTGTAAATTTGCAAAGTAACAATACTACGGGGGAAATTTGAATAGAAAAATTTTTATTTCAGGAATGGAACATTACTTCAATATCTTCACTTCAATAAACTAAAATTTACATTACTAAATAAATAAAAAAATATATGAAACAAAAGTAACACCTTTTTTGGACATGAAGTAAAGGTAAATTTAATTCAGTCTGGAAAACAAAAATATATTCTTAACTTAATGTTTCATAAATAACATTACTAAATAACAATAATAATTCATTTCATAAATAAGGTTAACATTAATGAAATTTTAAAGAAGAGAATACTTATTAAAAAATAATTTATACTAACTTTATATCGAAAAATAATTCCTCTGTGCTAATGATACATTTTCAGAAACTTTCATCAAACAGGATACTAATGGGTTAACGTAGTAACAAGCTTTACCTTTCATTTATGAACTGGATTTCATTTTTAATTAAATTATTCTATTTTAAATTTGTCAACAGACGTGTATAAAAAGGTTTGAAATTTTCATAGGACATGAGGAAAAAATAGAAATTTGTTTTAGCTGATGAAAAATTAGTTCAAAATGTCACCGCGTAAGAGCGCCTTTTTAAATGAATTGCAAATTTGTAAATACATGACGGATATCACATACTTTCTACCCATACTTCACAATAATTCTTTTATCCAACTTTTTTCTTCTTCATAATTTAGAATAATTCATTAAAATACGCAATCACTTGAGTCAACTGCAATTTTATTTCGAAGGAGCTTCTATACACATAACAATTTGTGCTGAAATGTCCTAAAAAATCTCTTAACAGTAGAGCGTATATTCAACCTTCCCTTTTGTAGTCTGTGGCCTTCCAAAACTCCAGACCTCAATTCATGCAACTTTTGACTTTGGAAATATTTGAAGCATCTAATAGTAATGCATAAACTTTTCCTGGTCTTAAAGATCACATTCACGACATGGCTTTGTATTTCTCATAATATTGTCAGCTGTGTAACATTCATTTCATTTCATGGTGCCAGATGGCGTTTAAAAAGGATTGCCGTTATGTTGAACACGTTACGATGAAATAAAAATTTTTAAGTATTGTAAATGTGTTCAAAAAGCGTAATTCTCAACAAAAAAAAAGCACTCTTTAGTGGCAAAGTTTAAAACTAGTTTCTTATTAGTTCAAACAAATTTCCGTTGTCTGAGCATGTCCTACACAAAATTTCATAACTTTTTTAATGTGGTTTCAACTTTCAACTGTGGACACATTTAATGATGAAAATTAAGATTCAATTAGTGGCATATTGTTCATCTAACTTGAATTTCAAATTTTTGGGAACCATAACTGCACTAAGAAAAAAGTATGGTCAAAACTACCAGAATATGGAAACATTTTCAGTGTAACAAAAATTTGTGTAGATGGAAACACTGTAGTTTGAGCCGAAACGCTTTGGTAATGAATTCTTTTATAAAACTAACAATAAGAAATTATTTTATTAACATACTGTCTTGTAGAAAATATGGTAAAATTTGACGATCTTAACCAAGAAGTTGGTATTTTTAGCGATATAATTTGAGATAACACAAATGTTCAGTTTAATAACCTCTAATTTTTGAATAAATGCTTGTTGGCTTTGTTTTTCGTTGTTTCGTTCTTTTCACTTTTATCTAAGCTATAAGCTAACATCTATTTTCCTTTAAAAAAATGTGGATTTGTAAATATACAAATGCCTGGACTAAACTAAACTAAGTCAGTAGGTTAACTTCACAGCTGTCCCATTTTCATAAAATAGAAGCATCGAGGTAGCGAGTTCGAATCCCACTGCCTCTTTTATAGTATCTATTTATGGAAATTTTATTATTTACTTATTGTTACACATACAGATCCAGGCCTGTGTGTTCATTACAAAGTTTAGCTTATAAGCCCTAGTCAGGTTGAAATATTCATAGAGAAATATATTACAAACATATATATCTAGTCACATTGTGGGATTCGAACCCACTACTTCAACGCTACAATCGATACATCTTTGTAATATCTTTCTCTGATTTGAGCTACGTGTTCTTCAGATTGAGTAGGTCTTCCCATATATCGTAAATTGTAAAGAGAACACGAGCCTGTATATGTATATGTAAAGATAAAAAAATAAATAAATACTTGGAGTAGTAATGTTTATTTTTTTTTGTATGCATGAATCTTAATTTACGTTACACAAGGTTTATTTTTTTTAATCATTCTTTTTTTATAGGTCTCCCTGACCGAGCAGTTTCTTCTTTTTACTAAAAATGCTACGATTTCTAAGCTGAGATAATAAGATGTAAGTAAGATAAACGGGTTCAATCGCCCCTGTACTCCTGATTGAGTAAAAAATAAATAAATTTGGTTTAGACACATATGCAAGCTCGTGTACCCAAGAAATGGTTTGTCTTTTGTCAAATTGAAGAGCAGATCGAACAAAAATGAGAAAGACAGCACAACTATATTGAACCCGCCACCTCTACGCTACAGAGCGTTTGGTGGAAGAATAATACATTGGTAACTTTAACAAATGTACGGTTGTTTTGCTTGCAATAAATGATAGGGGCCTTCCTGTAAATTCGTTGTCCTGACAATATCACTCTGAAGTGGGGATGTAGTGGGATCGAACCGCACTGTAACACTGGAAATATTTTCTTGCAGTCTTTTGCAAACTTGTGTTTTTCAAATTGAAAAGACTTTTTAAGTTATTCTTTGTATTTACAACGAATCCCACGTGTTTAAATAGATCAATCTCATTACCACATAAAAGATGCATACAACAGTCACCATAGCTTAATAGCTTGAGCTCATGCAATTAATTCATAAAAAATAGTTTCGAATTTTAAACATTCATATAACCTTAAAATTTTCAATAAAAAATTTTATAAAATTATTTTGAAAAAGTAGTTAAGGTATTTACATTTTGTAGGAGTGATATATAAAAATATATAAATGATTACCTATTATTTAGGTGTTTTAAAAAAACTTACGATACTGAGATTTTGTAGGACTAATAATTGTAAATGCGTTAATTGTTTATCTAAAATGTAGTGTTTTAAAAAATAATCACATTTTGAATTTTGCTGTAATGATAAATAATAGCTTACCTAATAAGTGGTGTTTTAAAAAGCAATCAGGATATTGAAAATTTTACAGTAATTATAAGTATGTCAATTTTTTATGCAATAAGTGGTATATTTTTTAAAAAAAATATTCTATTGGTAAAAAAAACAAAAAATAAAATTTAAGAAATTTTTTGGGACTGAATAATTTCAGAGTATTTCAAATATTTCAATTATTTACATAATGAGAGGCCTTTTAAATGAGCAGTTTTTTGAATTACAATGTATTAAAGAGTTTTAAAAGTGATACTCATAAATATGCCGATTTTTTTACACTAAATGATTTCATAAAAAATAATATTTAAAATGTTACTAATATTTTGGAGTGATAATCCAAAATATTTCTTTATCTAATGAATAGCAGTTTAAAATTTCGTAATAAGGATGGTAATAAATAAATCAATAGTTAATCCAATAATTGGTTTTTAAACAATGATTTATGATACTGAAAACTTATTTTCAGTGATAATATCTTTTTTTATAACTTCCTTAGATTATTACTTACTTTGTTTTTAACTGCTATATACTAAAAATTTTGCGAAATCATAAAAACATTTTTATTTTACCAGTTATAAAATAATGTATTTTTATGTGGCTCTTGCACTCTAGCTGTTAATAAGTTGTTATAACTGAGAAGTAATATTTATAAATATGTCTTACTCCATATCTAAAATTAGTATTTCAAAAAGTTATTCATGACACTTGATTGTTTTAATAATCATTTGAAAAGAGTTTTATTATTTTGATTAATAGGATCTAATCACATAAAA